GACAAATAAATTATTTTTTTTCGCAAAAAATGACAATTGCCGACCAAGAGTTTTGGTCGCAAAAAATACATCTATTGCCGACCAAAATAGTTCTTGGTCGTGGAAACTCACTTTTGCCGACCTGTGTGTGTGTGTGTGTGTGTGTGTGTGTGTGTGTGTGTGTACTAGAATGTGTGCACACCTGATGGGTGATATGAAAATAAAAAATATATGTGGGGAAAAAAAACTGAAGAAGTTACAGAATTTGAAATTTGAAATTTAAACTAGGCCTCAACTATATAGTACATTGAGGATTTGTTTAAGTGTTGATTCGAGTAAAGTGGATTCGTTTATGTTCATAGAATTTTCTGTTTTGATTTTGTTTTTGTTGTTTTTGGGTATTGTATTGAAACAGCTATGAGTTAAACAAATCAAAGTTTATTGCATATCTGAGGGATGTGAAGCTAATTTACAATACCATGATAGGTAATGGACTTACCCAATTATTGGGATTTGAACAAAAAACAAAAAAAGGATGAATTTTTGTTCAGAAAACTATGATTTGCCTAATAGTTTGTACAGGAGCTAAATAATCTGAGATTCAGGACCATTGGTGTTGTTTGTAAAGCAAATTGATATTCAATGATAGAGAAAGTGAAGATGTCAATTTATAGGCATGAAGGGAAAAGAATAGATGAGGAATCTACATTTTACAATGTGGTGCATTAAATTCTCGTGGATCGTTGGAATAAAAACAATACTCCTCTCCATTGTATGGCACATTCATTGAATCCAAAGTAAGTATCACATTTAAATTTGTTTTAGATATTTCATTTTAATGGACTTATCTAGTCTTTCTTGAAATAATTATTTTTTCCTATTTTGTATTGTAGATATTATAGTGATGAGTGGCTCCATGAGGATCAAAATAGAGTTCCTCCACATAGGGATGAAGAGGTGACACGTGAGAGGAACAAGTGTTTTAAGAGGTATTTTGAAGATATCACAGAGCGAACCAAGGTGATAACTGAGTTTGGAAAATTTTCGGGTTATGTTGAAGCATTCTCGGAGTATGATTCTATTCATAATAGGTGGCACATGGACCCTTATACTTGGTGGTGTGCATATGGTGCATATGCACCATCTCTTCAAAAACTAGCTTTGAGATTACTTGTGCAACCCGCCTCTTCATCTTGTTGTGAGAGAAATTGGAGTACTTACTCCTTTATTCACTCAGTGAGAAGGAACAAAATGGTCCCTCAAAGAGCGGAGGACTTGGTGTTCATTCATAGCAATCTTCGTCTTTTATCAAGGAGGAGCTCCCAATACTTGCAAGGAGAGACAAAAATGTGGGACATTGCTGGAGATAACTTTGACTCACTTGATGATATTGGAATGCTTGGGATAGCTAACCTCTCACTTGATGAACCGGCTATGGAGGCGGTCCTATTTACAGATGAAGGAGAAGATGGAGGTGGTGGTGAAGATGTTGTAATAGTTTCCTCTACTTAAATTCACATTTTCTGATATTTATGGATTTTGTAATAGATGATAGTTATTGGTACATTGGATAATTTTATATTTTGTGGTTTGATTTTCATGCATTTTGTAACAAATGATGGTTGGTAGCTTCAAATGACATGTTATGTATTGATGGAATGTAATTTTATGTTATTTCAATGTTTTTTTAATTATTTTTTAATAATTTTATGACATATAATAAATAAAATTAATTATATATATTGAACGTGTCCCCAGCGTGTTGTGTCCCCCATTTTTTGAAAATTTGCGTGTTGGCGTGTCCGTGTCGTGTTGCGTGTCCGTATCCGTGCTTCATAGGTGTTTGGTTATTAGTTATAAATTTTTGAATTAAATATCATATGTCACATCATTTATTTTAAACTCAATTCAAAACTCTTTTTAAAACTCATAACCAAACAAAATTTTCACACTTAAATTATAATTTTAAAACTCACAAATTCAAAATACAACTCTATTCTCAAATCATATTTAGAAATCCTTACCAAACGCTGTCTTAGTTTTTTATTTTTATTTTTATCAGTGTTGTCTCAGGACAACCCCTCCTACTGAATTACTACTACTCAAACTAGATGAAACTTGCTTTCTGATTCCAGAGTCATTTGGTTTTATACAGGAGGTGGAAAAAATTCTACTGCTAGAGACAAAGAAATGAGGAACACTAGTGGAATGACACCTGCAGAAGTATTTACTGATGCACAACGGGAGTTGGTAAAGGAAGGAGAGAGGTGGATGAAAGACACTGCCACTTCATGCACAATTGTAGTTGCTCTCGTTGCCTCTGTGGTGTTTGCAGCTGCCATTTCAGTACCGGTTGGAAACAACATTAATGGCCATCCAATTTTTTTTTTTCCAAACAGAGCCTTTGTAAACTTTGGGATATCAGATGTATTTGCTCTTTTCTCATCTGTTACTTCTGTGTTGATGTTCTTGTCCATCCTTACTGCTCACACTATGCAAAGCAAGATTTTCTCTATGCCTTACCCAAGAGCTTAAGGTCAAGTTGGGGAAGTCTCAAAAAAATTAAAAAGTTACTTAAAAAATTAAAAAGTTATCACTATTTAGGCTAAGTTTGGTAAGTTTTAAAAAAGTTAAAAAGTCAAAAAGTCACTATCCTATTTAAGTCACATCATCTCTCTAATACATCACTTCCAACTCAACTCATATTTCATAAAAAGTCAAAAAATACACTTATTTAGACCATTCCAAAAAATCCCTTACTGCACAACTCTCAATACTAATTTTTCTCTACACATTAATTTATACAATTTTTTAATATATATTTTTTCATAAAAAGTTAAAAAGTTAATCTAAGTATTTATATTTTTAACTTTAATTTTTTAATTTAAAAAGACAAAAAGTACATTTATTTAAGACATTCTAAACAATCTTTAATTATTTGTCTTTCAACCCTATTCGTCTCCATATTATGCACGACGATAGCCTTTGGTGCTACACTCTATTTGATGTTTGGAGATAATGATGCATGGATTCTTTATTCCTGCCGTTGCACTGGCATGTCTACCCGTGACCTAGTTTGTAGCTTTGCAGTTTCCTCTCGTTGTTGAGATGATAAATTCCTCTTATGCAAAAAAGTAAGTTCAGCTCAACCCCAGTTGGTATTTAATGGTATTTCAAAATTCAAAAATATGATTCGGTGTATCTCACTGAATAAGAAATTTCATTTTGTATCTGCCTGACTTATATGATTACTTTTTTCTAGTTGGAATATTTACTCTCGTCATCAAATTCCAATTACAAAATTTGTGAATGGCAGTTATGTAACTGTTATTAAATGAACACGTGAAACTAATGGTGTGTTTGGTTAGGGGATTTGAGGAGGGATTTGGAAAGAGAAATGAAAAAGGTGTGAAACTATGTGAAATATAAGCATGATTTATTCATATTTCACCTATATTTTTCATTTCCCTTTCTAAATCCCTCTCTAAATTTCCCAACCAAACACAACATAAATGAACAAGGAAAGGAGGAACATCCTCCATCAAATCCAAAAAAAGTCGTCTTGCTCTATCACCAATTACAAAATTTGTGAGTGGCGGTTATATATGTAACTTTTATTAAATGAACAAGGAGAGGAGGGTCCTCCATCAAATCTAAGAAGTCTTCTTGCTCTATCACCATCCTAGCCAAACAATGCGTTACAGAATTCCCCTAGGGATTGGCCAAGTAGGTCAACTTGGGACCTAGGGATGTGCTTCCTCCAGATCTCAGATTCTTATTAGGTAGTTGTTTTAATTCTTTGGGGCCACGCTTGTGAGTTCTGCTTGAAATTTGTCTGATCTATGTGGAGAGGGCGTTTTGTATGAATCTCAAAATTAGTCAAGGTACGCATAAATTGGTCTGAATACTTGGTCATCAAAAACAAAAAAACACCATGGAAGCACTTGCATTACTATGCCTGCCGGTACTTGGATGTGGTAACTTCACCAAATGCAGCAAGGAGCACTTAATTATGGATAATTATTGATGGTGCAAGGCATATAGTATGTCATTTATTTATGTATTTTTGTGACTTAAATTATATATTTTTGTGATAACTTACAACATATTTTATGGGTTAATTTGCGCAAATTTGCTTTAAGGTACACGATTTTGTGAAGTGACTTATGTATGTTTGTAAAAACTTACGCTAAATTGTGATTTCTCAAATTTTTATGAGTTAATTTACATGAATTTGTGTTTAAGTTATTTAATTTTGTAAGGTGACTTACGTATATTTGTGAGAACTTACGCCAAATTATAATTTCTCAAATTTTTATGAGTTTACTTACGTTAATTTGTATTTAAATTACGCAATTTTATAAGATAACTTATGTATTTTTGTGAAAACTTATGTAAATTTACATACTCCTTGCTTTAAGGGTTGTACATCCAAACACTTCCCACTAATTAATTAACAATTGATTTACATATCTATCATTTCAGAGCTAGAATGGTTCATACGAGAACATTTGAATAAGATCACAGCTCAATACAAATAAACACACATAATGGTACACCACACAAGGATGGATTTAGAGGGGGCAAGATTCCTTCCAACGATTTTAAAACCTTCTTTATTTTTTTTGATTAGTAAAAAAACCTTCTTTACTATAGTAATATTAGTTAATGATTATCTTCAAATTGTATAGATTGGCCTCCTATTTTTTTTTTTTTTAAACTTTTAAGTGGTCACCCCCACTAAAATTTTGAAAAAAATTAGGTGGCCACTTCACTATCTCATCAAAGTATGAAAATTTTTAAAACTTTTTGGGAGTGGTAAAGACCATATCTTATATCTTTCAAATGGCGCTTATCTCACATGATGGTTGGTTTGGTTATATGATTCTCAACTTTTGTAACAGATTGGCTTCATTTTGGACAATTTGAACGCCCAGAATAAAATTTACATTCCCTTTTGACCAATACTAATGCTGCAAGAAAGGGCAACCTCATGATACACGTTCTAGTGTGTCCAAGTTGGCCACAGAATCAACCATCCCACAAGCTATATATATTCTTCGTCTTCTTCAGTGGGTGTAAAAAAAAAAAACAAACAAAAAACATTGTAACTATGATAATATTCATTGATTCATTGTGTCTAGACAAATAATTTTATTCTTTTTAATATTATCTACAAGTAGATAACCTAGCAAGATGATCATATTTTCTCATTATGTTTTTCTTACACGTTGATATAGCACACTCACAATTATTAGTATAATATATCCTACATGAATCCCATCAATACACATCACATTTGTATTTACAACATATGATAAGTATAGTATTACTGAAATATTTTTTATCCTAAATAACTTTACATTCCTCAACTACCCACTTCAAAAAAACAAGGTCAAAATTATTTTAAATTTTTAGCCCAAAATGTCTCGAGGACATCTGTTAAAACCACCTTAAGACTATAAAACAATATCGAATTTTGTATATCGAATCACAATGTTTGTGGTGGATAATTATGATTCTAGCACATGATAGACAAATGAACTTCATGAAGAATCAAGATCAACTTGTGACACTAATCTTATGACTGCATCAACAACTACTCTTTTTCTTCATCTATTTGAGAAAAATGAAGAAAAAGAATATAGTTATTTCCTCAATTTTCAAACAAAATGTTACTCTGCCACTGATCAAGTGACGAAATATTAAAGAATAAAGAATAAAGAATTTCCTTTACAAAGGCTCCATGGATTTCCCTATCATGTGTATGTGTTTGCATCCAAATTTGGAAGAATAACTTATAGTCTAAGATTTCTTGTGGAAAAAGGAAAAATATAAATAAAAAATAAAGGATAGGAATGATAAAAGATCATTGAGAATTGGTTCTATATATTGGTGGAGAATATAAAATATGTATCCAAGAGGACTGTATTCTTTTTATTACATATAAATATGTCCCTCATGGTTTAAACCGTTAACATAAACATAAAAAACCACCAATACAGGCCCTAAAAAACATTAGAAAGTGAGAGAGAGAAGAGATAAATGTCGAAGTCTTCCGGTGCCAGCTGGCAGGCCATCGAAGCAGCGCCACCCCGTCTTCGGATCGAAAGGAGGCTGAGTCTTGACAAGAGGTTGGAAACCATAGAAGAAGAGAGTGAGGTTGGGCATAGTCACAGCTACAGTAACAAACCACCAGCCTTTGAATCTTCTTCCAAGGCTAATAGTTACCCCAGGCTCAAACAACCTTCTATGGGGGCTGGATAATTATAATAAGTACTGTATTTTCTCTTCTTTTTTCTTTTTTGTTTTTTTTTTCCTTTTTGGTAATTTTCTTACCTTTGTATTTGGCAAACCTTCTGCCTGTAGTTTCTTTTTTTTTTCTTTTTCCCGACATATTAGCTTGTCTAAAATGGTAAATAATAAATAAATAGATGTTCAACCCTCTATATTTCTGTAGTTTCTAATTAATTTGGTGGGATCAAAGTTTTTATTGCCCTGTTTGGTAAAAACTTAAAAATTATTTAACTTTAACAAAGGTAGCTTAAAAAATCTAAAATCCAAATTTAATTTTGAGTTTATTTTAAATTTACTAAGCTGGAAAAATAAAATAAGCTTAAAGCTTATACAGCGGAAGAAAACATCCCACCTTTTTTTAAATATGTGATTTCAATTTCCTAAGTAAAATACATACAAATAAGTTAAATTTTGTGTCTACAATATCAGATCAATTTGATTATTCTTTTTCATTAAAGATCTACTCATAAGAACCTACAAAATAAAAGACTTAAATCACCATAGTAGAAATTTGATGGAACTGCACTTCTCTCAACTAGAGAAAAACTCTGCAGTAATGCTAAAACATGATCTAATGCTAAGGCTAGAATCTATCACATCATTAAAGTAAGTCATCTTCAAGATTTTTTTTAAAAAAAAATTTATTGCATGACATATCAATGTATAAAATAAAATTTGTATAACACTGCTCAAAATAACCATAGAGAATTAAAAAAACAAGTGACAGAGTTGATCAACAGCATTAATTTTCTTTGTTTTCCCTTGGTTTCTATTTGCTTTTCAAGCATCCACTTAATCAACTACAGATCATTCAATCTAATATCCCGCTAAAATGAAGAAACAACAGCAACAATGATAGTGACAAGGTGAGGATTAAAGCAAGGTTTACTTTAGTAAAGTTGGAGGTGGAGAGAAGACTGAAGAGCTGAATAAACTGCAAACCAGCCTTGGTTTGAAGGGTGTATCATATCCCAGAAAAAAGAAAGTTGGGGTTTGTCACAAACAGTATACTTCTTGGCTCCACTCTGGTCAACATTCCCACATGAATATCCTCTGTCTACTCCAACACAGCATGGCTTCAATGGATTCTCAAACTCTGAAATCCCTGCACCAATTACAAGATATAGGTTCATATGGTTACTTTGGAACTATCTTCTTCATTATTTTTTCTCCTAAAAGTTTAAAAATTTTGTGTACCATTTTTTATTTTTGTTCCACAAAAATAAAAATAAAAATTGGTGCCTAGGTCATTTGCTAAGATGGATGTCACAGTAAAGCCTGAATTTTCTAATTTGTAATAAAGGGTCAACTATTCATGGTTAATTACACTTTTCACTCCTATAGTTTGATTCAAATTTCACTTTATTTCTTATAGTTTCGATTTGAATAATTTGGTCTCTACTCTTTAAGTTGAATTTTAATTTGGTCCTTACATCTAAATTTCGATTAATTTTATCTATATATACACCTTAAAATATTGATAAGTGTTTGAAAATTATTAATTTTACTATCCAATTTGAATGGAAGAACCAAATTGAAATTACACTTAAAGTGTAGAAACCAAATTATTCAATTTAAAACTATAAGGATTAAAATAAAATTTGAATCAAATTATGAGGTAAAAAGTGTAATTAATCCAAAATAAAAAGTCATTCTCTATTTTTTTATGTGGCTGGAATTGGCTGTGTTATGGAAGTGGTGCTAAAATTTCTGAATGGACATTCATTTAATATCTGTGAAAAACTTTATTTTATTTATCAATTCCTCTTTTTTCTAATGGAACTTTTTTAATTCCATTCAATTATTTTTTTAAGTTTTTAGAGACATCACTCTAAAAGCCCAAACAAATAAAACAAAATTGAATAATTTTTTTCAAAAAAAAAAAAAAAAAAACTCTAAAGTTTGACCTTAACAACAAAATAAATTCTATAATTTTAATTTTGTCAATCTGCACCCTGCTAGATTTTCAATATTAACATCTCTATTTTCGATAAGTAAAATTGACATTAAACGATACTTCAGACATTTTATTATATTGAAAACAAATAAAAGTCTATTTTGTTTTGTTATAATTTCCCCAAAAAAGAATGAATTGAATGAATTTGAAAAAAAAAAAAATTCACTAAACAAAATTCAATGAATTTGAATGAATTTTCAAAACGATCTGCTAATACAGTGATTGAATCTATGTATCTACTATGGACAGTGATTACCTGTGTGATTTTGTTGTAAATTCAAAGCAGACAAAAAAGCTGTGTGTAGATCGATGATTACAAACACTTGATCGCCACTTCCATTGTTGAGCTTCTTCACAGTTTGCTGCAAAATTTGGTTGTGGAAATTGGTGAGTGAATTCTCAGTTTCGCTGCAATTCCGATAAGAGTTTGAAGCTGTGGCTACAGGCAAGCATCCGAGAGGTTCCATTGCAGTGACAGCTATCCTTTTCACTCCCAATCCATGAATTCGCTTTAGGTTTAGGGCAAGCTGGTTAATCACAGTTTCTGTGAACGTTGGGATACCCTACCAAAAACAAGACATTCAAACATTCATATTCGATTCGAGTACATTGGGGCAGAGTTTCAGTTGTAATCTACGCTATCTTTAAAACAAACAAACAAAAAAAATTCACTTTCATTTTTATTTTCAGAATTTACTTTTCAAAAAAATTATTTTTTTATTTTTATTAAAAAAATTTAATATTTTAAATATTTTTTTAATTTTTAAACATACATAACATAAATACACTTAAAAAAATATAATATTTATCAAAAAAAAAATTAAAATTTACTAAATATCAAAAATATAAAAATTCAATACATTTTTTATATTTTTATGTATTTATTAATTTTTTTAAATATTTTTTCACAAATATTTTAGTAATATACATTTAAAAAATAAAAAAAATTACTTAAAATTTTAAAAATATTTATTAAAAATAAAAAAAAAATACGAAAAATAAAATATTAAATTTTTAAAAAATTAAATTCAAAAAGTTAAAACAAAAGAATTCGAGTGGCCGACATGGGCTGAGCTGGGTTACGGAACTGAATTTACAACATTTGAAGTAATATTAGAGCCCTGTCGGATCAGGCCCATACTTCAAGCCCATACATTGGTCCAAATATTATTACAAAATAAAAATAGTATTTGTTTTCATATATTATAAAGTCACTTGGCTCATACATTTAAATTTAAAATTTTTGAGACAATTGGCTCAAACTTACTTTTTTTTCTGTTCTTTTTTTTTTCAAAAGGACAATAATTGAAAGATCATATTATTTTTATTTATCTATTTCAAAAAAAATAATCGACTTTTTTAGTGAGTTGGTGACAACACTAGACTAGACGGTAACTGATAATAATATATAAGAATAGTAAGAGAAAATAAAGATAGAAAAGTACAAAAGTAAAAATTCCAAAAAAAAAATCTTTTAAAATAATTATTTGTACTTCTCATCAATATATGTTCATTGATCATATCCTTAAAATCAATCAAAACAAATCAAACATTGAATTTAATGTCATAAACATCCATAAAAGTGAATTTATCACCAATTTTTCCTATAAGAACTACCTTTCATGACTAATTTCGAATTTAAATTATTATTATTATTATTTGAAGAGATACAATTCAATAATTATTTCTATCCTAAGCTAGTGAAACTTGAAACCCAAATCAGGCCTTAATCACTTGGATTACCCTTTCGTCTCAAATTTAAATCTCATTATAAAATATATACATATATATATATATATATATAATTTTTTTAATTTAAAATAAAAATATATTAAAATTTGACTATTTCACAATCATTAATCATGAAACCAACATCTTTTTTCTACATTTTCTAAGGCTCAATTTGGAAACTTGGTTAAAAACTAAAAATTGATTTTTAATCTATTTTAAATTATATTACCTCTATATTTTTTTTTACACGTATTTAAAAAAAAAATCAAAAAAAAATAACTTTTAAACACCTTTCTAAAACAATCTAAGGTTTCAATGGTCAAAACCAATTCATGAAGGAATCATCTCATAAACTTCATTAATGCTCACCAAATTAAAGAGAACCAAGGAGAGCACAGATCACCTACTCTGAGCTCACATATAAAAAAATTAGCTTAACCACTCACCTGCAGGCTCCCATTCGTAGCCATAAAAGTAGCATAGTCGTTGCCACCAAGAGACACCAGAGCGATGGAGGAGTTTAGGTCGTGTTTGGTGTACACTTTTTCTTCAAGAAGTTGTTGAAAGAAATTTATTTGGGTTGTCATGTTTGGCTCTTTGGCCAATGTGTTGAAGACACCAGTCCCTCCATATGCAAAATTTATTCCAAACTGAAGCAATTTCTTGCCAGATTTCCCCTTGTATGGCAATGGAGATGGTATACCAAGAAATGAAGCTACGTAACATGCAGTCCAAAAACACATAGATATAAAATTTAAATAAATAAATAAAATAAAGAATCTTACGATAAATCAATAGAATAACGCAAGATCTAATTTTTTTAATATTACAAGACTTTTGGGACATAAAAAGGGCTCCAAACTTGTAGTTTTTAAGCTAGGATGCAGATTTCCGACAGGCTACAGTCCTTGTTTGGCTTAGTGGTTTTCATCACAGGTCTCATTATGATGATCTGAACCGTTTATTTTATTAGTCACTTCGTGTATTTCACCTACAAAAAAAACAAAAATTAAGTCGATCCAATAATTGAAACCTATTCAATTTATCACATTTTTCACCAAAAAAATGGATGACAATTGTGTTTTTAAAATAAATCATCCATTTTTTTTTGTTATAAACGTGATAAATTAAATAAGTTACAATTATCAAATCAATCTAAATTTTTTTTTAATGAAATACACAAAGTACTCAATAAGATGAATGGTTTGGATTATCGAAACAGAATGCACAATAAACTGACAGAATGCCTCCTTTAAACCAATACGTTCTCAATATAATTTAGCTTAATGAGTTAAATGTTGTCCAGCTAAACATATTTAAATATTTCAATTGATGAAAGCATGGCAGAATTCAAAATTTGGCAAAAAAATATAAATGTATGTGCCCAAAAAAATATTAAAAAATGTGCCTCGAATTTTAAACTATATCATGTAGATTAAAATTTTGATGTTGTGTAAGTCACACTCAAAATAAATCTGATCTACATTTTTCACCACATCATATAAGGAATGATACATAAAATTGGAACAAAACTCCAAAGCCATCTGAATCTGTGTGACAATTAAAAAGCTATATTTAAATAAATTAATTTTTGGATTTCTCTAAGAGTTTTGAAACAATAAGTTGGATGATACAAACATATAAAGATTTTTCTATAGTGGTAAAAGGAAAAATGGGAATTCAGAGCAGGACAAAAATTATCATAAATATGCATATCTTTGTTGAAATTGACCCTCATAATAAATTTGGTTCATAAATTTTATTTTCAAAGTTATTTTTACAGAAAAAATTAATCTATACTCTTGAATATTAATGTGGCATATACACATGGTATTTCAAACTAATAAATTTACAAGAAACAAAATGAATGGAACTCACCTTGTCTCCTATCCAACCAATCAAAATAGATCAGGTCAGCTCCATTCACTCCATCGCTAGCACTCTTAGGCCATGTTTGTTTGGGTGGATATGAGTTTGGAATTGGACTAATAATCTAATAAAATTATTAATCTGATGTTTGGTTAAACAATTGAAGTACGGATTAATTATTTTAAACTTAACTATTAGTTAAGATAGGATACATAATCCAACGAATTCGTAGTCCTAAGACTATTAGTCATGAGAATGCTAATCCAGTCCGCCCAAACAAACATGGCCTTATTGGTTTGAAAACATGGTATTAGTGTGCTAAATTGGTAAGTAGTTTTTCTGGGTCCGTAAAACTGTTGTACAAGTATTTGTGACCAAAAAAATGGAAGAAGAAGGAGAAAAGGGGATGAACCTATATAATCAGTCAGGACACGACCGTCGGAGAACCTGCCGTCTGGTCTTCCCGGAAAAGTGATCCCATAAGGTTCCTTCCACGAGCCTGCAAAAGATTTGGGACAATTCCCAGTATCATGCATACGAGTCTCCGAACACAAAAAGCTTCCTATTGCCATGACGATGTCGATACAATCCTCCAATCTCATGAGCTGAAGAAATAGTTAAGAAAAGGAAGAGGAGAAAGTATATTAAGTATGTTTGCTTTGCCATGAATAGTTTAAGATTGTGTAAGTTGGAGGTTTTGATTTGAATGAAGAGCAGTTCACAGATAGGAGTGCATGTACATGAAGGTGTTGCAAGAGAAAAGAATATTAAAGTGTGTATTTATAGCTACAATTGAATTTCAAACCCACCACATAGAGAAAGTTGCTTTGACATTACATGCTGCTGGGCCCACCATATCTGTTTGTAAATTTGAACAAAAATACAAATCTTTAAAATATCACTTTGGGACGGGACTGTAAGTTTAGTGGTCCATGTAATTATCTTTGGGGACTATAAAAAAGTTAGAGGTTCAAGGTTTTTGAGTTGATAAAGCAACTGTAACCCCTTGATTATAATTTAATTTATTAATCCGTTAATATTTGTTTTTCAACTTTGTCACTGTAAAGTTTTAATTTTTAAAATATACATTTTATATATTATTTTAGTCTTTTAAGTTTTAATTTTATTATTTTCATCACCAAAATTTGTAATCAGTCAATTGTTCCAATTTTAGACAACCGTTTTAATTGCTAATGAAATAATAATAAAATTTACTAATGCTTTCTAAAGTTTGTGTGTTGTGTTTTTTTTAATTTTAAAGATTTAATTTTATTAATTTTGACGTGGGTAGGCCCATAAAAACCATAACCCACTATGAACAACCCAAGCCTACCACTTAGGGCCCAATACGTAACCCAACCGATGAGGCCCAGCACAACTGGAAGTCAACATGACATGAAGGACCAATGATATTCAGACACGAGCAGGTAAAAGGCAAGCCACATCAGCAGACAAAGATCTGCAAAGTTATTACCACTGCACATCACCATTAATGCAGCCCCTCACAGCATTTATTACGACAATACCTCTCCGTCGGGACAGCACGCCCTCACCTTGAACAAGGTAAGCTACAACATAGACTTTTGACCAAGGTGACAGGTCGGACGGGATAACGAAATGATTACCAAAGAATATAAGTAGATGTTAAAGACAAGAAGAAGGTTAAGTTTTTCTATTTCTGATCCATATCTCTACATTCCACTTCTCTCTCTCTAACTTGCTCGTCAGAGGGTTCGCTGGGGGACACCACGTTTCCCGTTGAACTCTTGTGCAGGTTCTCAGGTGGGCTTGACCACTCGGATATTGGCTCAAGAAGCGTGGATCAGTCCGACCCGTTCTGCCAGGAACCCGTTGTATCATAACTGTATCATCAGTTGGCGCCATCTGTGGGAACGCTTTGCTTCGCGCGCCAGTTGTGCTCATTGTCGCCGGAGACTTTGTTCCAATAACCTTTTCCTGCTACTCACCAACGTGTATGGTCACGACTGGATCCATAGCTTCTCACCAAAATGCTGCCAACCATCAAGCCAACCCCCCCAATCCAAACAACCCACCACAGTATTTCATCGAGCTTACCAACAGCATCAACCACATGGCCGAGCAAAGCCAAGCCCTAATAAATGCTCTACTCCAAAGGGACCTTCCTATGCCTCCTCCACCACCTCCAGATATTCCGCCTAACCAAGAACGAGCCCCGAGCCATACTATCCCTCAGCCCTATCCACCCAACTTGGAAGGCCTGCAACCTCCTCCTCCTCATATAAATCCACCATCTCGACCCCCTCATCCATCAGTCTTGGCACCAACCCCTGAGGGGGAAGCCAGTAGCGTCCAACCCCCGCTCCCTTCCGGTGGTGATAACATCCCTCTCTGGGATGCAGAACTCCGAGCCATGAAGCTCCAACTCCAAGGGGTCATGCAGAACATCCAGCATAAACCCTTTACCACAGCAAACTCACTATTTGTTGCCTCTATCCGAGACAAACCTCTACCCCCCAAGTTCAAAATGCCCACCATCGACTCTTTTGACGGCACGACGGACCCAGTCAACCATCTGGAGATCTACAGAACCCTCATGATCCTCCATGCATTCCCTGACAAGATCATGTGTCGAGCTTTCCCTGTGACACTGAAGGGGTCAGCTCGACTGTGGTTTAGCCAGTTACCAGCAGACTCCGTCTCCACTTTTTAGCACCTCAGTGACTCCTTCCTCAGCCATTTTATTGGAGCCCAGCGCCAGCGACGCCTGGCAACCCAACTCCTCAACATTCGGCAGACCGAGCGGGAGTCGTTACGCAGTTTCGTTACCTACTTCAACACCGAAGCCCTGCAAGTATCGGAAAATGATGACAAGGTCATCCTCACTGCTTTCATAGCCGGTCTATGGTCGTCCGACTTCCTTTTCTCCCTCTCTAAAAACCCCCCAACCTCCATAGCAGCCTTACTCTCCAAAGCCCAAAAATACATGAATGCTGAGGATTCCCTAGCCGGCCGACAAGATCCAATAACCAAAAACCCAACCCCCAGAGAAAAGAGAAAAGACTCAGAACCCAGAAACACCCAGTATAATAGCCAAACATCGCACTATACCGACCGACCCCCCCGAGCAGACCGGTCGGCACCAGCCCGACCGCCCAGTCGGTTTGAGCGGTACACACCCCTTAATTTTCCCATGGAACAAGTCCTCAATCAGATCCAGTGGGACTACCCCCTCAAATGGCCCCAACCTTCACGAACCCCTTCCAATCGGAAAGACCAATCCAAATATTGTCATTTTCACCAGGACCATGGCCATAACACCGATGAGTGCGTTAACCTCAAAGATCAAGTCGAGACCTTAATACGTCAGGGACGTCTTAGCCAGTTCACGGACACCCGCCCTCGGCAGAGGCAAACAACTGAGCCCCCCAGAAACAACCGCCGGCGCAGCCCCCCCGGCAGCCAGCCCAACCTAACCAAGGCCATGATCGCCCTCCACAGCAACCTCGGCCACCAGGCAATCCCCCTCCACCTGTTGGAGAAATCAGAGTCATTTCAGGCGGCCTTGCTTGTAGGGAACCATCCCGCTCGGCTTAGAGGGCAGAACTCAGAAAGATAAGGCAGGGCTCAGACAAAGCAGTTGCCACGGTCGACCGACCCTTCAAACAGCCCAAGTAGTGGACCGAGCCTATCACCTTCACGGATGTCGACTGTACAGGCATCAGTTACCCTCATGATGACCCTCTTGTCATTTCTGCCCTCCTCTCCAACTACAAGGTCAGACGAGTTCCCATCGACAACGGCAGTTCTTCAGACATCATCTTTCTCAACTGCTTTCGCCAGCTCAAAATTAGGGAGGAAAGTCTGTCTCCTCTCCAAACCCCTTTGGTCGGTTTCACTGGCGACCGAGTGACCTCCATCGGCTCCATCGATCTCCCCATCACAATCAGCGAGTACCCACGGCAGACTACAAAGTTGCTCACCTTCCTTGTTGTCGACTGTCCATCCGCCTACAACATCATCCTTAGCCGCACCGCCCTAAATGCCTTTCAAGCCATCACATCAACTTATCACCTTGCCATTAAGTTTCCCACCGATTTGGGGGTCGGGACTGTAAGGGGAGAACAGACCGTGGCCAGGGAATGCTATGTCGCCTCACTTAAAGAAATCAAGCTGAAGGAGACAATGATCATTGAAGGACTTAACGTCCGGGATGAGGACGAGCTGGTCTGAGGGGAACCTGTGGAGGAGCTCGTTGAGGTTCTCATCGACCCCACCAACCCGGCGAAAACCGCCAAAATCGGCAGCCAACTGTCCTCCCAAGCAAAGGCCGACCTTACTGCCCTCCTGATTGAGCACAACGATGTATTCGCCTGGACCCACTCAGACATACCGGGTATTGACCCCTCATTCATAACCTATCGCCTCAGCATTGAACCCCATTTCCGACCTTACCGCCAGAAGCAGCGCATTTTCCATCTGGAGCGCAATACTCTCATTGCCGCAGACGTCGACAAGCTCCTTGAGGCACAATTCATCGAGAACGTGGATTACCCTAGATGGTTGTCAAACGTGGTCCTGGTCCGCAAGAACAATGGTAAATGGCGACTCTGTGTCGACCACTCAAACCTCAACCGAGCTTGCCCCAAAGACAGTTATCCTATTCCACATAGATCTGCTGGTCGACGTCACGGCCGGTCACCAAATGCTCAGCTTCATGGATGCCTTCTCTGGGTATATCAAATTCTGATGCACCCATCTGATCGGGAACACACCTCTTTCATTACCGACTGAGGCACCTACCATTACCGTGTGATGCCATTTGGACTGAAAAATGCTAGGGCCACCTACCAACGGTTGGTCAACGTTGTTTTCCATCATCAGATCGGTCGAAACATGAAAGTATATGTCGACGACATACTAGTCAAGAGCAAACTCTCTGCTGACCATCTGACCGACTTGCAAGAGACCTTCGCCACCCTACGAAAGTACCAAATGAAGCTCAACCCGGAGAAGTGCGCCTTCAGCGTAGGATCTAGGAAGTTCTTGGGTTTCATGGTCAGTCAGGGGGGCATTGAAGCTCACCCTGAAAAGATCAAGGCCTTGATTGAAATGCAGTCACCCAGAACTGTTAAGGAAGTTCAGAGACTCACTGGCCAAGCCGCCGCCCTCAATCGCTTCATTTCCCGCGCAACGGATAAGTGCCTCCCCTTCTTCAAAGTTCTTCGACAAACTTTTGAATGGACGACCGAGTTCGAAGAGGCCTTTCAGTAGTTGAAGCAGTGCATGGCCAACCCCCCCCTCATTTCTCAGGCAATCACTGGCGAACCCCTCTTCCTCTACTTAGCCGTTTCAAGCACCGCAGTCAATGCAGCTCTTATCAGGGAAGACGATTCTGTTCAACGATCGGTCTACTACATCAGTCGGGCTCTCAGGGGCGCCGAACAGAATTACCCACTGTTAGAAAAATTGTCCTTGGCCTTGGTCACCGCCTCCAGACGACTCTGTCCTTACTTCCAAGCCCATTCCATAGTGATCCTCACCGACCAACCTTTGAAGAAGGTAATGCAGCAATTAGAGCTCTCTGGCAGACTCATGCAATGGTCGGTGGAACTCAGCCAGTTTG